GGTAGTAACAAATTCGCTCTTTCGGAGCTCTCAATAATTTTGTACTACAAGATCTTTTATACCACCATCCAAGTGGTGAATTTTTCCTCCACAGAAAAAATTATCTTATCATTGTCACAATCAAAAACATTATAGACAAGACTCATTTCTTGCTTTACTTTTGCCTTTAATAACTTTTTATAAGGCATGGTAAAATATTTTTGGCGTACCACGCGTACTCGACCAATGACATATTCATGTAACCATATTGTAATATTTATTATCTTTATTTATCTCAAACCTCCCTTAGAGGTGAGTTGTGGTATTTATCCAACCATGCATAAGCACATTCTTATGCATATTTTTATCACATCTATATTTCAGCATTTACTTTTAGGAATGAGCCTGCATTTACAATGCTTATCACAAGTCACATTTTCAACGAATGGACTATAATCATATGAACGTGTCTCGTATTGACAAACCACATTGATACATATTCCTTCACCTTTGAAGGACCATTTTGAGAACCCTTATCGTTCTCCTTTTTACAATTACCATAATGATGACTATTATTATTTGATCTTTGGCACGCCCACGTTCATTGGTCAACCACTTGTCTTTATTTAGACTTATTATGCACCGTTATCACATTCACTTCAAGAATGGAGCAAATCAAGTGGGACAAATTTTATGCTTTTTCATGAATAATATATTATTTTTCTTTAGTCATCATTATATCATCAATATGGTGCATTGGGACTCAAACCCAATGCCTTATCCATATAAAGGCATGTTAGGACATAATGTATTGGGACTCCAACCCAACAACTTATTATCATGGTGCACTAGGACTTAAACCCAGTGTCTTACCCTCAAGGTACGATGAGACTTGAACCCACCGTCTTACCCTCAATCAATAGCACAATAGACCAAAATACAATTGAGGCTCATCCTCGGTCCTCTAAATCGCTTACCCACAGGGCCACATATAATGGTTATGCATAAAACCATTCTGTTATAACAATTTTATAAACATTAGTATTTCATCAATTTATGAACTCATCGCATGTAATTTTGACTTCTTTAAGATATAAATGAGATAAACTATTTCTTACAGACTCTGAAAAAATTTAGATCACAGTATATTATATTAAAAAATGATAAAATTATGTAAGTTATACAATTCATGAGTACTTCAAAAGTGTGAGAACAATTTTATCGGTACTAATAACTCAAACTTTGTTACTATTATCAATATCACTAACAACAAAAAATAAGCACACAAATATAACCTCAGAATAATCACTTTTTATATTATCCAGTTAGCTCAAAGTTATCAGGACAGGCCACTTACTAGTAAAAGTACACACAATTATAGGGGCCATTGAGTGGTGGGTCAAATATTTATTAAAATTATAATTACCGCTTTCCTTTCCTTTGTAATCAAAATACTAGATGCAGTGGAGGAACTATTACTAGCATAACATAAGCAATAACCCCAAGAATTCATATAACTGACACAAACTCATACTGAAAAAATTTAATTACCTATTCGGTTTTCTAAACTTTAATAATTTAGACAAGGTCAAGAATGAAAATTATTGGGAAGTTAAATTGTCAACTCAAAAGACTTAAAAAAATAACATAAGTAATGGAGTAGTAAACCTGGAGCATAACAGACTCTCTCTCAAGTCCAACCTCACACTTACCTGCTTTTGTACTTACTAGTTATAATAGTTATTCTTTTCTGATTCTCGTAATGAGACTAATCCAAACATGGGCGGAAGAAAAACCAAATTCAAATCTTGGTTAGAGACTCGTGCTGATAACTTAAGAAACTTAGCTCAAAGTAATAATATGAAACAAGAAAATAGACAAGAATGTAGGGAGCAAGGGAGGAGAGATTCTTATTTCTTTCATATATTCAAGTGTATTACAAAATGAGTTCTCATCCTCTATTTATAGTACAACATTGAGGTATACCAAAAGAATTCCATAAATATACTATTAAGCATTTGAGATCATGGAGGAAGATCATGGGTAGGTTATGGAGGTGTGAGAGTTACAACAATAATGGTGAGAAGTAGTGGGGTTTATCTACATAATGGAGA